CCGGAGCCCCAAACTAGGAGGAAATAGCTGTCCACTACATCCAATGATCTAGTGGATAACGCTCCGGCGTTTGAAACCATGGGCACTCCGTTCGAGCCTCGATGGGAACACCATCAATAACTGGGGAATGCAGGTACATCTGGACGACAAGCTCCAAAAAGAAGGACGGAACGCTCATTCTACTGTTAGTCATTATTTACGGAATGACTTTAATTTATACGAGCAGCCATCTTCGAAGTATCTGCAGATGAAGGGAACATTTCTATGAGAGACGGAGGCGTTTTGTCGAAGCAATCGATGGAAGTCTTAATTCGAAAAGTTGTAATAACTTAACGGGTTGTTGTTTGATTTGTAGCTCTGTGATTTCATGCCTCCGTTCAATACTAAGATTGACTTTCACATGACAACTAGTGTGGACGATAGCCTATTCGCAAATATATTCAGACGACAATTTGAGGTGAGACGTAGACTATCTGGTTTTGTACTTAAGATGCTAAGTAACAGAGGTTGGTGATTGCTGATGACACAGTTCAAGACGATTTAAAATAGTGAGGATGCATGCACTTATTGTTGTTTGTTGTACTACTTTTTAAATTGTTGTGATTTGTACTTATATGCATCTGAGGAAAGTTCTACGTTGAACAGAAGAACACAAACTGCTTTTTTCAAAAAGAAAAATTTTTATTTCTAAAAGAATAAAATGACGTGAAGCGAAAACGTTTAAATTAGTGTCATTAATTTTGTGATAAAGAAAAATAGAGTTAACTAAGGGTGAAAATATCTTTCTAAAAAAAACTTCAATGTTTTTCACAAGCAGGGGACACAAAGAGGAGCACAACAACACTTGTCTCGAATTTTTAAAACTGTCAACATGATAACAGGCGAGAAATATCTGAAATATAGATGAAGAAAATGAAATAAACGCATTTAGAACTCATAATTCGAAAAGTTTACTCAACTCATTATAATTACAATTAGATATTGAAATTCGATAAACTTCATTGATCGACCTCATATACTATACAGAAAGAAAAGAAAGAGAACAAAATGAGTTAACAATGAATTTTATTTACGAATACACAAGTGCTATAGGATAAATTTTTCTAGACATCACAGTTGTTCAGTGGTTGGAGGATATCGACAGACAGTCTGTCTGCGACCTAGATTGTTTTCTCGTTGGCACTCGTCAACAACATGCATCTGCTTTCTTCAAGGAATTCATCTCTCTACTAAGATTCAAACCAACTCCGCTCATCGCTGTATTCAGAGACGCTACCACTGAACCATTAGGTCTCGTGATTGGTCTCCTGTAGGATAGTAATGTGTACTTTGATTGGACACTAGGTAGTAACCAATATCATCTGTCTAGACCTTAGTTTGGTGTAGACTGAACTCTATCAATCAAGTTTGCTCAGTGGTAATGTTTCCGACTGCAGCACTGAGCGATCTGGGTTCGAGTACCAGAAGGGACATGACTTCTTCAAAGATTGCCGATGTCTCGCCAACAAGCACAAAACCCAAGTGTCCAAGGCTTCCTGCTGATTGCCCCTAACCATCCAACAACAACTCGAAGTGCACCGTGACGTTGAGCCATAATGTCCACATTACAAACTTGACTGGTAAAGTTCAGTTGGTACCAAACGAATAATTAGACGCATGCACTAGTTGCTGCCTAGTGTCTAACTAAAAAAACACAGAAGTCTCACAGAAAGGCTATGGTATAAAATCATTCACTACTGGTGATTTACATTTAGAAACCAAGTGTGTTTATTTTTTGTTGAAGAATAAACAAACTTAGTATCATATGAACAGAAAGGTAACATTTAATGTAAGGGAATACAATGTTCCTGTGGAATCTACAAATGAATAAAATTGTGTTTAATGCAGCATGAAGACGAAAACCGTTTCACTTTTCCTCCTTCATAGCTTTCTTTACTACTGATTCATTTCTCTCTCCCGTTTCAAGTACTTTCGTTACACCATTTAAAAATCATCTCACCTTCAATTTCCTACGACTGATCTGCACTTCTATGCATAATATTCCATATTCATTTTTTATCATTTATACCAAGATCAACAAACTTAAGATAACACAAACTCATAAGAACAAACAGATATTGCAGATACATATCTCATTTAATTGCTCATCGTCATGTACTGCATGAATCTTTAACATTCCTTATGCCTAACAACTCTTTACAACCTCCACTGAGATAATTTCCATCTGCTTAACCCACTTCAATTCATCTTCAGATTATCGTGAAAATATTGAAGGTGAAGCAATAAGATAAATATGGTAAGTGTACCTCCTTCTACGTTGGCAGCTCAACTGATAACTGTAAATAGAAGGAAGATTACGCAATTCGACTAGTGTATAAGCAGAATAATAACACTACTATATTCAATATTAGTTTATGGGAGTGCTGTGCTACGATTTCACTAATAGTCTTTAGGTAGGTGGCACAGTGGTTAAGACTCTCGCTGCGGTTTGATCCTCGACGGACGTACACCTGGTATCAATAGTCGACCTGCAATATTTCGGCTACCGATATCACATGCTGAAAATTCCATACTTCTACCAAAACTACGGTGTGGAATCAAGCTATAATGAAAAGTTAACAATTAAATTAAATATTTATCAGTTGATTTTTTCAGTTGACAAATTTACTTTGTTATTTGAAGAATACTTCTGGATATCGAGATCCTTACTGGTTACTACTTTATGGATGATCTTAATCTTCTCACCCCACCACTAAGTATCCTACCAGGTCACACTTTATTTAGGCGTATTAATAACTTTCCACATTTAATTTATCTCATGTAATCAGAGTTAAATATTGAGACAACCGACACAGCTAATTATTCATTCTTCACATTTTTCTTGTTGATATTTTCACACAACATGGACATGGGGTTATTATCTGATAACAACACAGATATAGTCATAATCAAAACTGAAAATAAGAAACATTAAACAATTAAAGTGAAAAGAAAAACTTACACATGTAAAAATTTCTAGTTCTTCTTTATACAGCATTCTCAGAAAGACAGGGTGAGCGAAATCTTCATTGAAAGACTCATTCGAATTCTCTACTTCTCTTAACGTCTACAATATTTGAAATGAACACAATGATTAAGAATTTCATTAATCGATGTGTCGCAAATAGTCTAGTCGTTAGAAAGAATTTAGTTGGACACAGCAACCTTGGAAGATATACGCGGCATATTTCCAGATTTTAGCTGAGACAAGCTTACACATATCTATGCTAAAAATCACTTTAGCTTGACTGACTCGTTTCCTCAGATTTCGCATTTCTCTACAATCAATCATAAGTCGAATTAATTCGATTTTCGCGTGTATCTTCAAAGTATACAGACAGTGTTGCGCCGCGATTCTATGCTAAGAAAATATTACCGTCAAACAACAGGAACTACATTGTAATGTTAACACTATAATAGACGGGAGTAATTTTCGCTTAACAATTCCCCTCTGAAGACTATATCAGGTAGCTCGATGCATACATGATAACTCGCAAATATTGAAGCGTTTATCTCTTTTAGAAAAAAAAAACTATATTCCCTGTCTCAGTGTAATTTAGTGTGCTTCGATTTCTTTTCTTTCTTTGAGCTGTCAAGTTTCAGTAATGATGTTGTTTTCACTGCATGAGTTTACTGGCCTCACACTTAACTTTACATCTTTTTCGATCTTACTACCTGCTATGCAAAATCTAAGCGTGAGTCGGCTAGTAGTCAAACCAGAACCTCATGAACTAGCCTGAGTGCATTTATTTCACCATTGAACAACGAACACCGGTAATTCTGCCAGGAAAAGAAAGCAAGAGAAAACATGCTGAGTAATTCTTCAACCAGTTTCTTAAGTTTTTGATTTAAATATGGACTGTTTATTATTCGGTGATTTATTACACAGAATCCTGTATCCAGGATATTTCAAAAATAATGGAAATAAATTTAGAACTATTGCATGAGAAAAAGAAAAACTCTAGGTCGATATTAAGTGAACAGGCTCTGTGCATGCAATGAATCGCATTCGATACAGTAGCACACACGCAAACACACACATACACTTCCTTATACCAAAGTAGGCAATTAACGGAATCAACTGAAACTCATCAGAAGAAACATAAACTGTCAACTAAAAAATAAGCAACACCGTAGCAATAACTAAATGGCTTGAAGGCAACTGAACTCAACGACTTACCGAATACGCTTGAAAAATCAAAAAAGCAAAGAGAATGAGAAAACAAATGTAGAACTCACACAGCTTTATACTAAATTGTTTTAACACAAGTCTGTAAACTATGATGTAGTACATTTTCCATTATTTATTTGCCTTAGAAAATACAGAAATGCATATTCAACACGAATTAATCGAAAGTATAATCAGCCATATTAAACATAAAAGTAAATAAAAACTTGAAAGTGCATCATCTAGGATTAAAGTTAAGAATCGGGTACTGATAAACACACTTTAGTGTGAACTAAGCTTTTGAGAAAGAAATATTCAACTCTAAGCGTTTATCACTTGAATAAATGAACCAGTGTAGAGAGTAGTCATTTTACAATCTATTTAGTTACAAAAATGATGTCCACATTAAACTTGAAATGGGGAAATAAATAGTAGGATTTTAAGAGAAAGACTACATTTTGCCATTCGTAAAACTTACTATGGAGTTCAGCTTATAGTTATCGATAACTTCGAAAACACTCAACTTGTAACTACATCACATCACAATTTACATGTGTCCACCATCACATACATACACACACACACACACACGTACACATATAGCGAGGAGTAATGAATAGGTGAACACATACCGAAATGGCTTGATAAATAAGTGAATTATGAAACCCTCTATAAACGCAGATGGCAGACCACCAAATTCACATTTCCAGTAAACACCTAGTTACAACCAACTTTTCTTAGGACCAGCTAGCGAACTAGGCTGAAGCCCAGTGTTACACACGGAACACAATGCAATAATAATAATATAGGAACTTGATTTATATGAATCACAAGATTGATATCAAAACAGCGGCGCATACTGAAATACGATGACGTGATGAGTATCCGTACAAGCAAACCTCTTTTCAGCGTGTAAAAATACAACTTGATATTATTTATACTTATGTATATATGTTTTGACTTATTACATTCAACCAACTCTGGTAATTTTCACCCGATTATACTACCAAGGGCCGTGTTAATTAATATCCTCCCATATTCATCATTTTATCTATTAATTTGACATTCCGCTTTTGTCATAGCAACTGATTTAACAACTAAGCGTGATCATTTTGTCCAAAATATATTTCACAAATACATCACATTTTTCAGATAAACTCTGTCTTCCAATAACGTTAACGGGACAACAGTTCAACAAGACCGTAAAATGTACAATATACAGTTTGTAAACAACCCTACAGTCATGAATGCCATTAAATATAAAGACAGTATTGCATAATCACAGGTGCAAGTGTCCAGGATCCAGAAACAGTGGAACAGTATGGAAATAGAAAAGTCGTTTCAACCTTAGTAAACTTGACAGGTAAACGATGTAAATATTACGAAATAATCCTCAAGGCAAGATTAAAGTTACACCACCGGATCTGTCTTTCCTCATTAAACAAAACAAACGCAATAAACAGTAAAAAGTCGCAATCGCTATATACAATTACATGATATTGACAAGCAGTTGACACAACCACTAAAAAGACTCACATTACGTTCAGTAGATACATTTTACTCCTTCAGTGGTAAACGCTTTCTTATTCTACCTGAAACTTTAGATGACGATAGTGAGCTACTCGGGGATTTAGCAGAATCTGAAATCTTGAGGGATTTATTTGCACCAGATGCTCGAAGACGTCGAGCTATAGGCTTAAAAGTTGTAGAAAGAGTAACAGGAAAAAAAGAATTATTATTGCAACAACAGAAGGCAAGACACATAAGCCGAGGTATATTTTTCATTAATCATCAAACCACTGTTTATATTCGTTAACCAATCACTGAGCCCGCGTGTGATTTCGGTTTACATGACATTGAACGACATGAAATAGAATGTTCAAATAGAGATATATTGTATTCTGTTGCTAACGCATTAGTGAACTGTGGGAATGTGAGAATAATATTCCGTTGGCACACATTGTCTGAATCACACCAACACACTATGATTACAATTATAGAAAGGGGAAAAGCGTAGGGTAAATAACGTGTGAGAGTCACTGTCACAGAATTAATCATTGTATGTTGCTATAATCGTAGTGAATGTGAAAATATCAGGAGGAGGGAGATCAAGGCGAACTTGACCATTTTTGACGAACAACTTAGAAGGTAAGAAAGACTTTCGATCAACAGTCAGAAAGCTAATTAAGAACACCACACACAGTTGAACTTAGAGGGGAAAATGAAAGGAACTGTGGCCGAATTGTTGGCGAAAATTGTATCCTTATTAAATAGCAAGTCAATAGTATTCACATTCTTATTTTATTTTCGTGTAAAAGAACCATGAAGGCAAGAAATCCTTTTTCAATCTTCGAAATAAATACTTTCCACCGTTATTTTAAAATCTGTTCAAAAACAAAATACCTACTAGAGGAATACAAATAAGCATTTCGGTTCACTATTATTATTTCATTTTTATAAAGTTTATCAGATAAACTAACTGTTGGCGAATATTGGCAAAGTTCACTTTCAAACACTGCAATTTCTGATTTTCTCTGCTTAATACAACACCACCAATAATAATGCTTAACACAGACACTTCCTAAACATCGAATCAAGAAATGCTGAATAACAATTTTCACACCAGCTATGATAAATGTGAAGCCAGTGGAAGAGGATTTTCTGCCGTAATCACGGTCATCCTAGATATTTCCAGGTTTTTCTTGGAAGGGACAATATCTGTTCAATCGGTGTACAACACATGGTCTTTGATATCGTTTTTAGCATATAATGAAAAGTAATATATTATTATTATTTCAACTCTATCATAATTATAAATGAGCAACCTTCAAATTAGATCGTATTCACCACTAGTCTACTGTAAATAATCCCACTAACAGGCTAATATCCTACAGACCTTGAAATACACCATAGTATTTTAGAACGATAGGTTAACGGGTGACTTGGATGACCTCTCTCTTTCTCTTTTCGACGCGTCAAAACACTCAGACTATAAATGATGTTAGAATTAGAGTACAGTAGCATTTAAAACTATATGTCAGTGTTTATGCACCCAACTTTGTGTGTCAAGATACCACACAAGTGAAGTGGTAATACAATGAATGTATAGGAGGAAGTAGTGATACGACTCAGTATAAAATACTACACCATCCTTTCTCACGACTCGTATGATTTATCTTGTCATGGAGTTACTATGTGAATGTATCATTTCTCACACATATTGTGATCTAGCATGTCATCAATTCATCGTCTTTAGTCTCACCTTGATCTTTGTCGGATCACCAACCAATCAGAATAGCCATATCCAGACAATAAGAACAGTTCATTCTCACGGTTTTAGGCCGACTGTATTGTGATAAATTAAATATACAAATATTATGTTTTGTTTCCTAATAAGCGTATATAATACACTATCTTACAGTCACAGGCCACTCTTTGTCTTTTGATATTTGCGTGGCTCGGTGAATCAGAAAGTACAAAGGACAAATAGACGTATTAGAGTGTCAGTTGAGTTCATTACCGTTATAGTAATTAACAGGCGCAGACATCACAAAGTAGCAACGGATCTATTCAATTCAGTTTAGTTATAACAAAACGTCGACGGATCAGTTCAGCCAAAACTTATAAGCTAACAGGGAAGGGGAGCAAGTTATTATGATTTTATGTCATTAACAGGTTATCATAAATATAGAAAAGATATAGCACGAAATCCCAGATAAATAGGGCACATCATCAAGCACAATGGGAATCCAGACAACAGCTCCAGGATCGACAGTTTCGCATGAATCAAGACTATCAGTAGCTGACAGCAGTGTGACCTACTCTGAATCCAGGTTCATCAAGTGGTAGAGGGAAGAAACCAAGTAGGACTACGGAAATAGTTGTGCCAGCTAGAACTTGGTTGTGATCTGCGCGAAGCTGCAGATGATGGTCTCCGCTGTCTGACTTAAGATGATGCACTGCCCATAGAGCACCTAGACGACTTTACTCTGAATGCAGACGCCCGACTTATGTATTCAATTCCCCAGCTAGCGAAGCGACTTCTACTGAACACGGATGATTGAGAAGGAGGGAACGCTTATCCTTAATTCCACTGCTAGTCACCATAGAATAATTAACCTGTTAAGTTGTTAAAAAGAATGATTACATGAAGTTGGAGTATCTGATATAGTATGTTAACATTGCTGCTGTACACCGAGTAGCTCTGATGTCAGCTAACAACTTAGAATTAATGCGTTATGCATGGTGAGTTTGGATAATATCATATGGTTTGACAGGTATACTCGCTCGCTGATGCATAAAACATACCTCACTGTCTTCGCCTGAGGAGTCGTCTTCTGAGAATGCTTTCGTAATCCGACGAAATTTTCTTTTCACTCCACGTACAAACTAAAAACCCAAATAATAAAGAAATATTTGGCGACTGGTAATAAATAAACAACTACGAGTAATACTTGACACGATTGTATGCACTTAAAATACTGCAGAAACAGATAACGAAACAAAATAACACAAAAGATTCACTCAAAAGTAGTGCTGTTGATATACTGACACGTTTGTCAAACAATTCGATATGAACCACACATAATGAACATTATCATTATTTCTTATCCAATGTTCTATGTTGTCGTATATTACAACAGCATTCTAAATAATTCTTTTCTTGTTCTGGGATGTTTTGAAATTTTTAAACTCTCACAAAAAATTCCTCATAGACTTAATAACTATTCAGTCAACAGACTGAACACAGATAACTAGTTTTCCTCATTCATAATCAAATTTCACCCCTATTCAAAACAAATTGAGAATTCCATGAACAGTATATATGTGAAATACAACATTGTTATTAAAATATACCTCTTAAAAAATATAAAATATTATATCACAGCATTAGAGGGAATTATATAAGACGTTTTCACAGACAGTGTATACAATTAAACACTACTAATATTGAAGTGCATATTATATACATTAAATATATTCCTATTAGAAATAGTATGATAAGAACAACCTACGAACCTTTGCTACAGAATTACACACGGTATTGACAACAGACACCGAGTCATTGGCTGTTGATGTCACTTCATTATTCATTTCAAAACAATTATTTGCTGCAAGAAAAATAAAAAAGTAAAATTAGTAGTGCAGTATATATATATATATATATATATATATAGAGAGAGAGAGAGAGAGAGATGTTCGTCAACCAATCGCTGAGCGTATGATTTCCGTTTATATCAAATGACATGAAATGGAATGCTTAAATAGATAAACAGCATTCTGTTGCGAATGCCGAAGTGAATTGTGGGAACATGTGAGAATCCTATTCCGTTGGAAGCTATCAGAGAGAGAGAAATTTAACCATACAATTAGTAAAAAATTTAGTAAATGCCTGGTAGTTAGGCACATTTGGTCCTAACATGACAACATATGAAGTTGCTATACTTGACAATAACATGAAATTTAACCCGAGATGAAAAAATTGTGCAAGTGTAACAACAGAAGACAAGGGCCAGACAACAGATCGTTTATTAAGGAAAATCAACACATATTTATAGATTTTAATGTACATTATTGCTGGTAGAAAATATAGTCTTTTGATTGGTTGTTTCTCACAGAAAGTTAACCTTGCATCTCTTTGTGGCTGTGCCAGATCATCCATATGCTAACTGTACCCGCCTACGCAAAGCCTTTGTTCTCATTTTCTCACCACCAATATTGGGGACATAAACATTGACGTCAATTACTGTCTGCCAACTTTAGCTAGCAGCCAACTCTCACTACACAAGTTATTATATAAGGATTCATGAAAAGTTAAAACAAGATGGCTGTAAACAAAACATACCTCTTAATTCTACTGATCTGTGATTCTACTTTTTGAAAGTGCACTATGCCATTGCTCAGTAACATGGCGTCAAACCACTATAATGGATAAGATTTTATTTTGATAGATAACACAGTAATGTACAATAATATTACTGTACAGTTAATATTACTGTACAACACTGTGTGATTTATCAAAGTAAAATCTTATCCATAATGGAGTTATGCTCTACCACAGTGCCCAAGTGTTATACTTACTTACACCTTATACCACCAATCCTAAAGATTGAGATCAAACTATATGTCCCTTAAAAAGTCATGTGATTCCTTTCATGCAACCGTTCCTTGAATCTACAGTCACGTAACACTGCCGACAGCGATTATTTCAATCACTATTATGTCACTCAAAAGACCCATCTATTGTCTGATTGTTGACTGTATAAATGTCAGTAAGTGGAAGGAGAAGTTCTAATCTATGAATCAATCATTATCTGAAACTGACAGGTTACAGCACAATATTATCATTAAACACTCAATGTTACAGTAATTACATTAAATTGGAAGGTCAAATTACCTGCAACATTCTCATCTTGTATGACAGAATGATGATGTGCAGCATCTGTGTTATCATCAGAAGCACATTTTACTTCAGGCAAATCAGTTATTAGTTCGAGGAGAGAACCACCACCCTAAACCAGTGATGAATAAACAAGATGTATAAGCGAACTGTATTTGCTTCCGATTACATCTCAATCAAGTTTCACTTTATTTGCATACAAAATTGGCTGCATCAAAATATGCGACACACAAAAATAGTAAAACAATGCATAGGAGAGAAGTAGCATGATTGAAAAACGGCAACAAGGAAACAAACAAGCACACCTAACGAGAGGGTGTTACTTTCGTAAAGAGGAAATGAAGAAATTGCAGTAAGGTCGGTATTGACTGCGGTTCCCAGCCATATCCCATAACACCTCGAACCAGCGATTCGAATTATCTCTTGAATCGCTAACCCGGGAGTTGTGATGCGCCAACATATGCTGACGTAAAACAAGCATCCTTCATCCCACGTATTGTCATGGACTCACCACCCCTCCGCTTGTGTTACACAATCCTAGAAAAAGCGAGCAGTGACTATTCTCGAGCTACTAAGATGTCAGTCATAGCACATGTCACCAAAGGACAATCTCTCAAGATGACAACTCTTAATGAACAACAGTCTCCACACCACTGGAAGCCAGAATTACTAACATGGTGATGCGACCGGATGTAATCAGTTCTGCAGAGGCAGTGATATTCGAGAAAGCAGAGTCCTCGCACATCCTCAGCTTGTAGAGGCCAGGTTTCACAGAAATAAAGCGGAATAGGAGCATCGAAGCATTGTAAACCTTACCTTTGACGACCAGACTAACTTTGTGACGCTCAGGTTAGTGTATACACCAGCTACAGATCTCATCTGTCACACCTCTACCAACAGCTACCCATATGCAGAAACGTATTAACCACTTTCAACGTTTAAACTGCAGATCGTCTAAACACCCTGAAATTATTTCAAGTTATTTTGAAATTTGAACAATTACTGTTGTGAGTCGGTGGCACAGCGGTAGAATGTTCGCCAACCACTCAGGTGGTTCGGGGTTCGATCCCCGGCGAATCATTCTTTTACCTCACCAAGCCAGTGACAAGACTGCTAAAGAGGAAAGATTAAGCATGAGACTAGCAACCCTATCCCGTAAAAATAAATACCATTGCTACCAAAACTTCAAGCCTCCACTTTGAAGGCCTATGTTCTACTGGGAGCATAAAGGAGTTAAAAAAAGAAAAAATTGTTCTAAGAATGACACTGCTCACCTAATTACTAATAATAATATTATTTAAAATTTCGGTCATCAAAGGAAGGGGAAATATTGGCAAAGCAGCGGATAATTCAAACTAACCTGCACTTCTGACTCTGTGGGTTTCTCTAATACAATCGGCTCCGTCATTGAACAAGTGGTGTCAACACCACTGCATTCTAAAAATAAAACATGTACATTCGACTGTAAGATTCCAGGAGTTTTTGATAAAAATAAAAACGAGATTTGAAATACATACTAAATAGAAATCTAGGAGATGCAACTAAATTTATTTAAATTATGACTTATTCGAAACGCGCAGATTCTTAATATACATGACCATGGGCAACATACTTGTGAAGGCTTATGTTAACCTAGATAAAAATAGGAGCAAAATTTACTTCAGTTTGAAAACAAAAAGTGTCCTGTGTAAATAAGTGTTCATACAACTGCTGGAACTACAAAAGTGGGTATGCACACAAAATTAGCAGATTGTACAAGAAAGAATTTTCCACTTGAGAAGATTATTGATATTGATTCCTTCAGTTTCTGGAAGAATACAGGGCTTCAGCTAGACATCTCAATTGCGTTCGGTTCTCTGCCAATGTTTTCACGCAAATCCACGTCTACCCACATGCTTTCATCTCCCCTTCGCACGACCTCCTCCATCTAACCCTCACACTGACGACCAATTCACCGCTTCCCCCTTCGGGTTCCACTCAAGCGATGGCCTGGAGTGTGAGGTCACTCACTTGATGGTTTCCTCACAGTGTCGCCAATCAATCTCCATTTCTTCCTGCATATTTGCTGAGCATTCAATTCCTGCTTGATTCGTCCCCAGAGATCCATGTGGCTGATCTTCTATGGATGGCATGGCCATCTGATCTTGAGTGAAGACAGCTGTCCATGAAGGTCTGTAGTTTCTTCGAAGTACCCATCGTGACGCGGCGCCAAATCTCTGATCCGTAGAGGAGCACTGACTTCACATTGGAGTTGAGAATCCGTACCTTATTTTTCCTGCTCAGTGCTGTTCATCTCCATACAGACATCAGAGTAATCAGAGCTTGCCTTGCTTTCCCGATCCTCGCTTTGATATCCTCCTCAGTTCCATCCACCTGCAGTTGAAACGATGCTTTCCAGGTAGGTGGGTAGGTAAAGGAGGTTGCTTCTTTCACATTCCTCTCATTTAGGCTGATTGTTATCTGTTGCTGTTGGTGTTGTTGTTGACCAGCAATCTTCATCACCTCTGTCTTCTCAGTGTTCACTTGAAGGCCTAGCTTCTCTGGATGCTTCTTCTGACAACTTGTTGCTTTTCACTTGCATATCTTCCAGTTCGTGGGAAATCAGACATATATCATCGGCGAAGTCTAGATCCTCCAAGTTTTCTATGTGGGTCCATTTATGCCTGTCTCCTCGTTGCCCACATTGTTTGTCGCATTATCAAGTCTACCGCAATCAGGAATATCATTGCAGATAGTAGTCATCCAGCCAACCAGCCAGCCTTGTCTTACGCCCGTCTTCACTTCGAAGGATTCCGTCAGTTTCCTGTTGTGGATTACTCGGCATGCAGCATTATCGTACAACCGTTGGATGAGGTGTATAATTGTCGGCGACAACCCGTAGTAGCGAAGTAGTTGCCAAACCACCTCTCGATCGACGCTGTCTGCTGAAGGCCTTCACAAAGTCGATGAAGTTGGGGTGGAGAGCTGACTAACTGCCATTCAAGGCTCTGTTCAATCATCATACGTAGTGTTGCAATTTGATCGATGCATGACTTGTTTCTTCTGAATCCAGTCTGTTCCCGTCAACTGTTTTCATCCAGCGCTTGTTTGATTCTCTCCAGGATGATTCGGCTTAGTATTTTCCTTAGGATGGACAGGAGCATAATTCCGCGCCAGTTCCTCCATTGACTACAGTTTCCTTTCTTCGGCAGTTCCAATAGGTAGCCTTTCTTCCAATCCGCAGCTACCTTACCCTCTTTCCACATCGTCTTCAGTAGTGTTGTCACCAAGTTCGCTGATGTCTCTCGGTCCATCTTCAATACTTCTATCGGGATCCCGTCTGGTCCCGCAGCTTTTCCAGATTTCAGTACTTTTATGACCTTCAGGATTTCCGCTTACCTCGGACAGTTGGTAGTTCCACTTCCGCTGTTCGTAATATTGGGCACGTTGTAGGTGGCGGTCGATCAAGAAGTCTTTTGAAGTGTTCAGTCCAGTGTTTCCTTTGCTCTACCTCTTCGGTGATTGACTTTCCATTGTCATCTTTCACTGGCTTAATTTGTGTTGATCTCTCCACCGATAGGAACCCAGTTGTTTGGTAGAGTGTTGCGAGGTCTCCCTTGCCTGCAGCTTGTTCCGCTTCACTTGACGTAGCCGCATAATGTTTACTTTTGTCTTCCCTGGCACTCTTCTTTACTCTTTCGTTCAGTGTCTTGTAGCTTGCATTCAACTCCTGTTTTTGTTGCTCGTCGACGCACTGCACAATCTTTTGTTTCACCATCCTTCTCTCTTCTGCTAGTCGCCACGTGGCTGTGGTGAGCCACTCTTTGTCCTATCTCTTCTTTCTGCCTAGAACTTCCAGGCAGGTTTGGCTCCACACCGATATCAGCTTGTTCCAGTGTTTTTCAACGCTGGTCTCTTTGCTAGTGCTGATTTGTGTCTCTGTCTTTTTCCCTATGATTGCAGTGAAGATGTCCTTTGTGGTCTGGTCCTTCAGCTTGTGAGTATTGAACTTGGCTTGTGGTCTATCTGAACCTCATGTTTCTTTGGAAGTTTCTAATGTGATTTGGAGTGTTCCTTGTACGAGATAGTGATCAAAGGCAACGTCTTCGCCTCTTCTTAATTTGTTTACAGGGTGAGCTTGCTAGCCTCACGCCTGAGGTGGTGGTTACATGTATATGTAGTTTCGCGGAGGAGCGACTTTATGGGTTGCTCCCCTTAGAATCAGGAAAAAAAGTAAGCAGAACAACACCAGCGAAAGGAAAAAAATCACAACAGGAAGGGAACAACGACAACACCAACAAAAGAAAACCGTGACAATAGTATCACTGTTAAGAACAGTTAATAAAAATTGTAACAGAACCATAGACTCACTGACTTAGGTATGTATGTTCAACAAAATATTCAATTATTAATATTAGCTAAAGTTCAACAGTCACAATATACAAAACAGTTAGTTATAGGTATTGTAAAAACTGAATTTCACTCGACCAAGCAGCAACACAATAAATGACTAAAACTAATGCAGCTCAGTTATCAAACGTAGATTTTCAGTGTGAAAGAATGTGAATCACACTACATGAATAGGGTTTCTAATAACAATATCAGGCGATACTCCACTCCATAGTGAGGTAGGTAAACCAGGGTATTTTAACTCCCGGTTTAGTTTTGTTATGTTTCACAATAGCACAGATGTATAGTAAATCATAAATATGAGATGGATAACAAAGCAATGAAGAACACACTGATGAGCAGAGTATACAGCGTAACAAGATGCTCAATTATCACAGAATGCTGCAATAAACTAAATGGAAACGTGTTACTGTGTCTGATATTGGATTGTACTGAAAGGTGTCAACACATATACATATCTTTAATTCCTACGGATTCATTTGAAAACAAGAATGAAGACTGAATACTGGGAGATTCAATTAGACATTGTGTTTTGGCTGTAGAGAAAAATTATTGGCGCTTTTTTATCTACGGGAACTGGGTTCCCATGTTTCTCGGTAAGTGGATAATGCGATATATGGGATAATATTCACACAGGACGCAAGCATTGGGAAAGCATAACAAACATACTTAGCTACCTAAAATATTAACATTGGCTTCCTTTTTTGTACTTTACTATATTCCCTCTATTGTGTATCCACTGGTTCCGACTCTATTAGCACTATGAGTATTACAAAATTGTCCTGTCATTAACCATCATGTAATTATTAGTTTTGTGGTTGTTTTTTTTCTTATTTTCTATACTTTTCGGCAATATTAAACTGACAATCATTGTTTGTGAACGCCATAATCACCACCTTAAAAATTTAGTATTATTCAGGATTACTCACACTACCACCACAAACACTGCATTACACCATGGTAGACTTTGGTACTTTTTCGCATGCACACGTACTTTGTGTTTATCCTGTTTTTTTGCTGTTGGTGTCTTCAGATTTATTTTTTTTGTTTGTTTAATACTTATTTTAAATGTCGGTAAAATTAGATATAAATATTGTAGATATGTGCTGAAAATCCCACACTGTACAACTAGTACTGTTTCTGGAATAAAGCCAATTATTATTAGTATTATTAAAATATATATACATATGTATATAATATGGCTCTAGCATTTCAACCAGCACTTCATTTCAAGATGGAATTCCGCTTTAGAAGATGAGAAAAATGGACAAAATAAGGTGATAAATAATCGAGTAAAACTCTTTAAACATGAATGTAGTTAACAAAGAGAAATGGCACTTACTAAAGCCCACTGAATCGTAATTATCGCACATGTATAGTCTGGGAGAAACACATAAACCTAACATCGGTATTCGTTCGATAATGTCAGTGTGCAGATCTCGGACCAACAAATTTGGAAAGTGGCTAGTGGCAATATTAGAGCCTCTTAGAAGCTTCTGTAAGTTTCCATTTAGAGATACTTATGAGTTAAGTGTCTTCATGACGTTGATATACATGATAAAACCATGTTTTTCTTAGACGTTGATTCTTTATTTGCAAGTACACGTCTGTTACAGGCGGTTTACATTTTATATGACTGTATCTCTAACAAGAATCTTCTATTACCTGTATCTATATCTCATTTAAAACAGCTACTGACTTTATGTACTTGTAACGACAGAAGGCAAGAGTCAGGCAACAGATCATTTATCAAGGAAATCAATGCATATTTATATATTTTCATGTACATTACTATGGATATTTAAGCAAACAAACACAGTCTTCCGATTGGTTGTTTCTCACGTAAAGTTAATCTTTCATCTATTTGTGACTGTTTCTTGAATGTCAAATCCTCTATATGTTAACTGCATCCGCCTACGCAAAGTCAATCTTTGTTCACATTTTCTCACGACAAATCTTGGGAACGTAAATATTGATGTAAATTACTGTCTACCAATTTGGCTAGTAGACAGCTCTCACCACATACTAACAATGTTAAGTTTACATATGACGCGAGCATTTTTGCTAGATGGATGGTGTTGCTATAGGAAACTCCCTAGGTTCATTGTTTTACATGTCGCACGTTGAGAACCTAGTGGAGGACGTAATTGGAAAAGTTTATTTTTATAAGAAATACGTGGATGACATAATAGTCATCTGTGATTAACCGACAGATTCAATAGAAATCCTTAAGCAGATCAATACAGCACAAGACAGCATGTCGTTAACATGTGTAAAAGATTGCTTACCATTTTTACATGTACTGATTGATAAACCACCGACAAGATGGGTCAATAAAACGATCTATCTCATAAAGTCAACATGAACTGTACATTATCCTCATTAACATAGTATCTATCCACTATACTATAAAAAGGTGTTGGTTAACTGCTCGTCTAGATACATTCACCATATATGTACAGCCAACACCATTGGAGAAACACAACACCTCACCGAAATATTGTTAGATAACAACCATCCGTTAAAATTCATTGTGTTACAGAAGTGTCAAACAAAGACCTCTACTGATCCAGTCAGTTTTCTCCCAAATAGGATGTTTATATATTCTTGCCGTGCAGGGATGATCAAAACAGTCTTATCACTAAACAAAGAGTTAAGGCGGCAATTAATAAAACTTACTATCAGCTAAACTTATCTTCACAGAGAAAACGAGATCTATGCTGTCCTGTAAACCCCCGCACGATAGTGTCACATACCATTGTGCATACCAATTTACACATTGTGTGAACACATGTTCACATAGAGGACCTATCGGTCTTTGAAGGTTAGGACTACGGAACATATTCCAAAGTGGTTACAACAATAAGCAAGATCATCAGATACAACTGATCCCGGAGATGGATGTCCAGCATCATCTATAGCGAAGCATATAATAGAGACTTGTCACACGGTTGATTACACCAGCGCCTTTAAATCCATAAATAAAACAAAGTTGGGTCACATAATTGAATTCGTTGAAGCCTTAGTCATTGAAAAGGCTTAAACCTGTCTTACGTGTCCGAAAATTATTTACTACTTTGAACCTACCTAGTTAATCTAATTTCGAACCACGGTTCAATTTATAAGTTTCCAGATCGTAGATGTTACGAATATCCTAGAATAATTTGAGCGCCGAATCAATCAGATTGAATCATGGTAAATTATTTAAAATAATCCCAAAAAGTTTTGATTGTTTCTTAAACACGTTGGGATTACTTTGAAATAATTTATAACGGCTCAATTTACTTATGAGTATTTCCACCCTCTTCCTTCTTTTTCTTACCCCACACCTTTACGTCATCTTCCTACCCCATATTTGTGACCTTTACCTGTACAAAATTTGGCTTTTAATAATTCGTGCTCTCTTGACTTCTATAAATGTGTATGACAAGTACGTGTATGATCAGAATGACCGAAATATACTACGTCTTCTTATTTTGTCGAAATTCATTAAGGGAACTAATTGCTTTAAATACAAAAATGTCAAATTAAGGAGTGAGACCAGTTCCAGTAAGATTTTTTAAAAGAAACTATTTCTGAAGTCCCACCTATGTTAATAAATTCACAAAACATAAGATGTTAACTTTCAGATTAGCAAAACGATCCTGAGAAACAACGAAAATCTTACCGTTGGGAAGAGAGTAATATTGAGTACCAGATGAGTCTGCCTCATCATTTGGAGCGTCATTATCGGGTTTGTTTTCCTTGAAACAATAAATTGAAACGACAACAATGAATTTTATGCGAAGTATCCAGTTACAAATATCATATTTGTTTTTAAATGGATATTTACAACCTACCTTATAATTTACCTGCTCCAGGGGTTGTTACACGTCAACATCAAATGAAAAAATCATAAGTAGTCAACGAACAAGAATCCTTAGGTTCGCTTTTCTACTGCCTATTAGAAATGCCTACAAATTCTTTCAATGAGTGGTCTCACATTTTGGAAGTCTTAATTAACACTTTCTTTTGCATCTAAATGAAGTAGTGACTGTATGAAACTAGTAAAATTTTGAGAGAAAAAAGAAAGCCTAAATTAAATGTCAGACCACATTGTTATGAAGTGCGATTTATTTATTCTCGTGGTGCTATAACAATACATACGGTATATGACGCTAATTGTATTTTATTTAAAAATTCCTTTCGTCTACCAACTGATCATGTGGTTTCTTTCAACTCTCTGGAATATTCATAAAATCTTTAATGAACAAACTTATGCTCCTTCTAGCTTTGGTTAATTATTTATCTGCATTTAAATTTATTAGTGTAAATAAATATTCTCAATTTTATTTTTTATATTTATAAAGTCTGTTATCGTAAACAATTAATAAAAAATCCTGTTAAATTGAATGAGAATAATAGCTCTGCTCCACTGGTCATCATTTCTGCTATGAGATAATTGCAACAAATCTCACCTGAGGAAGTGCTGTTGTATGGTCAACATCAGGTGTAACTGATAATATTTCATTCCAATTACACAAACCAGAGAGATCTGTAAGGCGAAAAAAAAAATAATGTGTGCTATGAAAAAGGATATGTACTTAGTATATGAATTGTTTAGATGATGAAATCACTTAAATGCGATTAGATTAATTCATATTTGTTTACATTAAAAAACATATGAAGTTGCTTGTTTGATAATAGCACAGTAGTTGGGTCCAATAAGCATGTTCCGTCAGTTGCATATACATGCAATCGAGAGAATCATAACATCCTTCATTGAGACTCAAACTTAGCACCCACCATTTCAAACGTAAGAGCAATATTAAGTAGTCTACTAATCAGATGAATCTTGGAGTCCACTACTAGATACCATTCAAAGAAATAATTACATTCAAAGTCATAGTAATATTGAGACATGTACTAGAATGAGCTAAAACAACGCCGTTCAGATGGTCAACAGGCAATCATCAGGCATAACAGATTTTATGTTTATACATTACAATGATTTGATGAAAGATGAAAAATTATAAGCAGTTAACTAAATATCATATGATTTTTTAAATTATATTTCTACTCAGAAACAGAATTGTACATCTAACTTGTTACAAATAGTTATTGCACACACCACAGCATTGCATTAAGTATGAGGGAGACGGCTTCAAAGTACACTGTTTTGAAGATGTTAGCTTCACTCTAGTTTGATATGACGAAAAAATGGGATCAAATTATTGAAGGCATTCCAATGAATAATGCTATTAATACACATGTGTACACAACAAAAAGTTCGTGTGATGAGTTTTCCACTTTCAATTTTCCATATTTTGGAGGGGAACAAATGTAGTGAGAATACAATGAAATTATACAAGATAAAGTGAAAACTATTGCAAACGCTGTACACTTCGATGATAAAGAACGAAAATATCTGTACTGTTGGGAACAATTGTGATACAAATAGACACAAAGTCTCTCTAAATGCTTTAAAATTTATGAACTAGAATAAATTAAGGTTCTCCCACCAAATTTGGCGTTTAAAAAACCAAATGCAGACGTTCGCCTCATAAGCTAAAGAAATGATACATATTTTAACAGGAATGTGGAAAACAGCTCGGGAGTGAAACAGAACTCGGTGAGTACAAATGGTGACAACCGATTCACCATCTCATTTTAAATAACTAAAATGACACCGATGGTATAAAGAGGAGACGAGCCTATAGTAAGCAGCCTTTCATATCTCAACAGAAGTTATCGTAACCCAAAGTAATTTTGAATACGCCTTTAACAGCACAAGACACGGAAGCAAAAGATATGTCTTTCAAAGAGCAAACCGCTATTTGTATATATACAGTTTATATATTCGTTAACCAGTCACTGAGCGTGTGATTTCGGTTTACATCAAACGACATGAAACAGAATGTTCAAATATACATAGTATTCGGTTGCTAATGCCGAACTGAACTGTGTGAATAATATTCCGTTGGAACACATTGTCCATATCATAGCACCACACACCTACTGATGATGAGTATATCTATTGATTAGTTCATGTATAATCCCCATCCAGGCATTAATGAGAACAAAACACGTAGATCAGCGAAGAGTGTCTTTTCGGCGAATTCATTTTCTTAGCTGTACCATCGCAAATATATATGTGTTATTTTGTATGTATGTGTACAATAAGTTTATCAAACAAAAATACAATTGGTTATAGTTATTTAAACTAAACAGGTGAAGATTGGTAATTGGAGTTACGTAATACAAAATCAGTGAAGAAAATTAGGTGTTAGTGAAACTAGGGTAGTAACAAAGGTGATGAGTCTTCACAAACAGTTGTTAAAAGAAGTTATGTAGTAATATGAATAGTTTGATGAGTGAGTTTTACTCAGGATGCACATAGGAACAAAGTAGATAATACGAAATTGCGTAAGAGTTCTAAACGAATACAAGAATGATAAGCAATTAAAGAACAGGCAAAGAAACGAAATTAAGTCATCAAAATCAAATCAAATCAAAAAAGTCGTTACCAAGACAGTAGAAGTGGTTGAGTAATCCTCTTTTGTATGCACAGCTCCGGTTTTTCTATGTGAATGGCCAGAGCTTCAGCGATACAAAGAAGGTAACAACTTTTTTGATTTGATTTTGATGACTTAATTTCGTTTCTTTGCCTGTTCTTTAATTGCTTATCATTCTTGTATTCGTTTAGAACTCTTACGCAATTTCGTATTATCTACTTTGTTCCTATGTGCATCCTGAGTAAAACTCACTCATCAAACTATTCATATTACTACATAACTTCTTTTAACAACTGTTTGTGAAGACTCATCACCTTTGTTACTACCCTAGTTTCACTAACACCTAATTTTCTTCACTGATTTTGTATTACGTAACTCCAATTACCAATCTTCACCTGTTTAGTTTAAATAACTATAACCAATTGTATTTTTGTTTGATAAACTTATTGTACACATACATACAAAATAACACATATATATTTGCGATGGTACAGCTAAGAAAATGAATTCGCCGAAAAGACACTCTTCGCTGATCTACGTGTTTTGTTCTTATTAATTAATTCACTGATAAATTTCAATAGTTGAAAAAACAATTTCCAACTATGTAGGAAGACAAATAGTAAACTATGGGACAAAGAAGGTGGTAAAACGAAAAATTTAAGCCTCCATGAAAGGTGTTTTGATGTTGTAGGAGAAGATAACGGAATATAAACAAGCATAAAAATCAGTGATCAAGTAAGTGTGTAAATTTGTGTAATCAGTACGCAATCACAATAACACACTGTCAACGCTTTAGTTAATAAAGTAGACTCGAAAATTTCAATCTACGACTTTAAGGTTAAAAGCCGAAATGATGATTTCTATACAACAAAAGAGATAAAATTTCAGGCTTACAATGACATCTTATTTCAAGGATTTTCATCAGTCACAGACTACCTGAAATTACAGGGGTTGTAAACAGGTGAAAACAATGTTGGAGTGATCAGAAGAGAAAATGTAATAAACTAGGGCATTCAAAAGGTGACAAAACGTTACAATTTACAGTTCAAATTATCATCAGCTTATTTGCACTCCAAAGTAGTAAGCGGTGATCTTAGAGTTCACTATTCTATTAAATGTGATGAAACAGTCAAGGAGTAGAATACTAAACTAATGAAGATATAAAATGATATGAGTCAACTAACTTATGTAGCTTAGTAAAAATCAAACATACGCCATTAAAAGATTACTCACCGAAACTATCGTTAAATAAATCATCAAAAATCTTTAAATCATCCGGATTAATCGGGGAGGATTTATCTTCACATGGAATATTCTGCTTAGGAAAATAAAAATGGAAATACGAATAAATTTGGTAAATCAATCGGAAAGTAGTCTGGAATAGTCACCTTTTAAATCTACGTAATAATTCCACATAAACTACAATGCAAAGTTTTTTAAAGATATTTCAATAAACCAACTGTGACAATGTATCATTTGTAAATATTCAGCTTAATAAACTCTAGTGCTATGCGCTGGATTCGCTGTAGATGAGGATGAATCTCGAAATAAGGCGAAACAGCTGTCCAATTCTTCTTTGGTTGATTTTCGTCTAATAATAGATTTCTTTTTGGAACATGTGAATATGCGAACAGCACTTAAGACTAAATTGTAATACGAATAAGTTTTTACATTCTATAAATGTTAAACTCTACAACAAATAATACTGTAGGAAGTTTCGGTAAAATAAGCTAGGTATGGTGAGTCAGTAGAAGCAGGAATTCATGGCCTACTGGGTTCCGTTCTAGGGGCTGAATGATGAACGAAGTCGACTTGTAATCTAGGTTGCGGCTGCATAATGAAGAACTCCGAACCAGGATGAAACGGTAGCCCAGTGCTACCCTGTCACATTATTAGACGTTGTGCATATTTTCTGGAAAATTACTCTGATCGCTACTATAAATGAAACTACCTGAAAAGATGATGCAGTCAGCAGTTCTAAATAATGGTTATTATTCGACCTACGAGACTAAGATCTTTATTCACCCTGTATACGCACGAGTAGTATTTAGTCATCAGTTTATCGTTACTAAACTACCAAATTAATCCTCATATAAACAAAAGTTTCGATGAATTTCAGGGGGGTAGTTGTCGACAGTAGTAACCGAAGTTAGCTTTATTTTCACGAAAAATGATATATTTCACAACGCCACAGGATTCTATCTCAACTGTTAAAATATAAGTTTAACGTAACTGACTGATGTAACTTTAATTATAATTTTTTGATCAGAGCTTGACTGCACACAGTACTTTTGGCAGAAGTATGGAATTTTCACCAAGCCAGAGCTGGCTTGAACTGGCATATGAGGGACGAGCCTTCTCTTTCCGCCATGCTGAGATTTCGTCAGCGAACAACCCACTGGCATTGATGTAACTTCCCGAATAAGTGAAGTTGTCAACGTGCTCTACCACTTCACTCCCTATTTCTAAGCTGGGAGTCAATGTAATCCAGACTAGTCCAGTCCTGTAGCATCATCTTACATTTGACAGCACGAGCGAATCGTATGCCAATCATTCGAAAATAGCTGCCTGTCAATGTCTCACACCTCTGTTTACTGTCTATATTATGCATTTCTTCTACTTCCTTCTCTTGCTTTGCGTGCTACATAGATTGTGGCGACTTGAACTGCCGCACATATGTGCAAAGTTCTATGTCGAAAACCGACCGACCGACCGTCTTCAGAAGATTCTGTATTTCGTCAGCTTCTTCACCCAGGTGGGAGGACAACATCATCTGCATATTCTAAGTCAACGAGATTATTCCCTGATGGTAACAAGTCAATCCTTGAGTCACTGACGTCACTTAGGGTTAATTCTATCAGTACATCAATGATGAAATTAAACAGAAGTGGGGACAGTGGGCATGCCTAAGGGACACCACTAGCTGTCATTGTTACAGATGACAATTTCTAATTTGTGATAAGTGAGTACGTGCCAACATTACATACCACAGTGATGACTTTTACCGGTACATCACGATGATAAGAACTTAGTGACTGAAATTCCTTTATTAAAGCCAATGAACCTTCACTATGTATATATACATATATTTAAATATATATATGTATATATCTATACACACAGAAGTTTCTTAACAGGTCCTGAGCTTGGAAAAGAGATGAAAGGCTAGGTGTAAGCCTAGTGACCCTAACCCGGAAAATCAATTCAATCGCTACAGAAAATTCAAACGAAAAACAATCCAATTCTCCACTGGAATCAGAGAGACGGAGTGATGCGGACTGATGAATGACTTCAGAAAGCCATAAATGTAAACCAATGTGTCTTCTTTAGATGAAAGTAAAAATATGCATTGGGACACGGAATATCTGCATGATGTTCGAAGCTGGGAAGACTATCCAGGTTGCCGACGCAATGAAGGCAAATGGCATGGAAATAATAAAGGTCTGTAAGAGCAGGTGGGATGGATGTGGACTGTCCAAATTGTTAACTGGAGGTTGAAATTTCTAGTCCGGTAACCCAAACGACAACCACAAGAACGCTGAACGAGCGGCTATCATGGTGTCACCAACAGCGACCAGAGCTCTTATGCAGTGGGAACCAGTCCCCTCCTGCAGGACAATATTCAACTCAACAGGAACGAAGGTTATAATTATCTAATGCTGCGTGCCAGTCAGCCACAGATAGAGCTGTAAAAGCTGTGAATAAGGTAAATCCAAAGGTGAGTAAGAACCATTGGATTTCGACTGCCTCATCCGAAATGATAGATGCTAGAAGACTTATTCCGGCGAGCTCCGAATTCAGTGAGGAGCGAAAGCTGCACAAAAGGAAACTTACGAAAAGTCTCCGCAAGGACCGTGAACAGTGGTGGTTGACAAAGGCGAAAGAGATGGAAAAAGCATCGGCGATAGGCAACACTAGGCAACTCTTTAGACTCATCAGGGAAACGGGTGGGAGAAGGCAAATCATAAGTGAGACTATTTCTGAGAAAAATGGCTCATTAATTAGCTCTCAGGATAGACGCCTTGAACGCTGGAAAGATCACTCTGAGGAACAATTTAACTTGCCTACAGCCACACTGAGCCTTCCCGCCATCCAGCACACACCCGAATGGGATACAAACACTGGCCCGCCGTCTGTAAGTCAGGTCACAAAAGCTATCTTTAATTTGAAACGAGGCAAAGCGGCAGGACCCGACGGAATTGTTCCGGAGGTGTTTAAATATGGGGGTGACATACTAGTATATAGTTTAACTAAGGTACTAGGTAACGTCTGCGAATCAGAGACGGTTCCATCACACTGGGGTAAGTCACTTATTATACCAATATTCAAGAAGGGAGACAAGTCCTCATGTGATAATTATAGAGGAATCAGCCTGACGAACATAGTCTCTAAAATCCTAGGCTCAGTAATCATGCACAGACTAAGCCAAACTCGGGAGGACCAAACGAGGGAAAATCAAACTGGCTTTAGGTCAGGTAGAGGGTGCACAGATCATATCTTCACTCTCCGACAGATCCTAGAACATAGACACACTTTTAGGCGTCCAACAATTGCCATATTTCTTGACTTGAAGGCGGCATTCGACTCCGTGGATCGAAACGTACTATGGCAATGTTTGACTGTGAAGGGAGTGCCAAGAGAGTACATTGTACTAATCAAGGCACTCTACTCAAACTCACGTAGCTGTGTAAGGGCTTATGGGGAATTGTCATCTGAATTGATAACAACCAGTGGTGTCCGTCAAGGATGTCCACTTTCCCCATTCCTGTTTAACTTCATCATAGATATGCTAATGGAAGTATCCTTAACTGAACTTAACGACTTAGGAATCGACTTGTTACCAGGGAATAGTTTTATGGACTTAGAATATGCAGATGACATAGTCCTGTTAGGGGAGGATGCTGACAAAATACAGCAGAGTCTTCTGAACACCTTGAGCAGCAATCTTCGTATGTTTGGCATGCGATTCGCCCCTGTAAAATGTAAGATGCTGCTACAGGAATGACTGGACTACGTCAACTCCTAGCTTAGTGATAGGGAGTGAAGTGATAGAACATGTTGACCACTTCAACTATTTGGGAAGTTGTATCAGCACCAACGGATTGATTGATTGGTGACGAAATCTCAGCACGGATCCAAAAAGCTCGAGCTGCTTTCGTTAACTTACACCATCTCTGGCGTAGGCGTGACATCCGGCTATCAACCAAGGGACGTGTGTACTGCCCAGCAGTTCGCTCCGTCCTTCTCTATGGCTCTGAAACATGGCCAATACGAGTTGAAGACATGAAAAGGTTGTCTGTTTTTGATCATAGATGTCTACGATCTCTTTCTCACGTTAGGTGGCATAATAAAGTAAGTAATGTTGACGTTAGGCGTAGAGTGTTGGGCAAAGAGGGAAAATCAATCGAAGAGGCTATCAAGTTACATAGATTGAGATGGCTAGGTCACGTGCTGCGCATGCCTAACCATCGCCTCCCCCGACGGGCATTACTAGCTGATATAGGTGCAGGTTGGAAAAGAGTAAGTGGTGGCCAAACAAAAACATGGCATCAATCCATGAAATCCCTGACAGTTAAACTGAGTCAGGTAGGGAGATGAAGACTTCTGGGTTGGGGCCCTCGGGACTCTAAGAATCAATGGCTGGAAACAATAGGTGACATGGCTCAAAATCGTTGTCAATGGCTTACGCAGATGTATTCAGTCTCTGTAATCTTTCATATTCCTTTCCACCATTACTCATTCTGTTTCACTCTTATACTTGTCAAAACTCTATTGATTCTCTTCACTCATCTTCTTGTCTACCTTTGTGTGCTATTTGGAACGTGGCAACTTGAACTGCTGCACTTCGGTGCCAAGTTCTATGTTGAATCCAGCCAGCCAATGCTGCGTGCCTACAAGCAACGCAGATCCAGTGGAGAAGATGGAAGAAATTAAGATAGACTTTGTTTCAATCTTAAGAAAATGGACGCAGTTTGCTAGGAACAAGAGAATGGAAAAGAAGAGCAGATATAAGCTCAGACCATGCAAGCAACTGTCAGCAAGAACATGGGACCCTTCTAGGAAGCTGGAGATACATCACAATTCCAAATCAACAACATGAAACTGAAGATAAGAACCATAAAGGTCGCCTTAACTGCTTTCTCCACAGGGAAGTCATAGATATTACGTATCATCAACGAGGAACCCTGTGTGGAAGAACACTGGATCTCTCCGAAAGTGATTCTGAAGGAAATCTGTATAGCTGCCTAATGAAGGAAGAAGTGGCAAGAAAAAGAATGGCTCTCTACCGGCACACACAAGTTAACATTAAGACAGGGATGTTGAAACAGACGCTAAACCAGAGCAAAAGTGGAAAACGAAGGAACAACACAATGAATAAAGAATTCTCACACACAACTAAAAAGCTTCCACATATTTCCTGGTTATGCGTGAATGTTACAATCAAAACAATGAGGCAAAACTGACCTCTTTGTTATCGGCTTCTGGTATATGTTCACCAAGATAATTCATCGGTTTTTCAACGGCGAATACCCCAGGCAAACTGTCTACAGCAACGGGAGGATTTTGTACTTCCTGTACAACAGTCGAGGGTTGCGCTGCATTTGAGGAATTCGCACTAGAACACGGTTCAGAAGGATCACTAAAAGCAATGAAATTGGAAATAAGGACAACTTCTTTATAACAAATTAAAACATCAACGATCTACCTACTCATTAAAAACTCAGTTTCTATTATATCCATATCGGCCAGCAGTAGGAATCCTCCGACAAACATTATGATGATGATAACTGCTTTTAGTCTAATCGCTACTCAAACGACCTATGTAGTACAGCAAAACCAGCTGAGAGATTAGCTCCAGTCAGTGCAGCTCACTTCATCATTGCGTCATGCAAATCTACCACTCACTTGATGGTTTCCTCACAGTGTCGCCAATCAATCTCCATTTCTTCCTGCATATTTGCTGAGCATTCAGTTCCTGCTTGATTCGTCCCCAGAGATCCATGTGGCTGATCTTCTATGGATGGCATGGCCATCTGATCTTGAGTGAAGACAGCTGTCCATGAAGGTCTGTAGTTTCTTCGAAGTACCCATCGTGACGCGGCGCCAAATCTCTGATCCGTAGAGGAGCACTGACTTCACATTGGAGTTGAGAATCCGTACCTTATTTTTCCTGCTCAGTGCTGTTCATCTCCATACAGACATCAGAGTAATCAGAGCTTGCCTTGCTTTCCCGATCCTCGCTTTGATATCCTCCTCAGTTCCATCCACCTGCAGTTGAAACGATGCTTCCCAGGTAGGTGGGTAGGTAAAGGAGGTTGCTTCTTTCACATTCCTCTCATTTAGGCTGATTGTTATCTGTTGCTGTTGGTGTTGTTGTTGACCAGCAATCTTCATCACCTCTGTCTTCTCAGTGTTCACTTGAAGGCCTAGCTTCTCTGGATGCTTCTTCTGACAACTTGTTGCTTTTCACTTGCATATCTTCCAGTTCGTGGGAAATCAGACATATATCATCGGCGAAGTCTAGATCCTCCAAGTTTTCTATGTGGGTCCATTTATGCCTGTCTCCTCGTTGCCCACATTGTTTGTCGCATTATCAAGTCTACCGCAATCAGGAATATCATTGCAGATAGTAGTCATCCAGCCAACCAGCCAGCCTTGTCTTACGCCCGTCTTCACTTCGAAGGATTCCGTCAGTTTCCTGTTGTGGATTACTCGGCATGCAGCATTATCGTACAACCGTTGGATGAGGTGTATAATTGTCGGCGACAACCCGTAGTAGCGAAGTAGTTGCCAAACCACCTCTCGATCGACGCTGTCTGCTGAAGGCCTTCACAAAGTCGATGAAGTTGGGGTGGAGAGCTGACTAACTGCCATTCAAGGCTCTGTTCAATCATCATACGTAGTGTTGCAATTTGATCGATGCATGACTTGTTTCTTCTGAATCCAGTCTGTTCCCGTCAACTGTTTTCATCCAGCGCTTGTTTGATTCTCTCCAGGATGATTCGGCTTAGTATTTTCTTTAGGATGGACAGGAGCATAATTCCGCGCCAGTTCCTCCATTGACTACAGTTTCCTTTCTTCGGCAGTTCCAATAGGTAGCCTTTCTTCCAATCCGCAGCTACCTTACCCTCTTTCCACATCGTCTTCAGTAGTGTTGTCACCAAGTTCGCTGATGTCTCTCGGTCCATCTTCAATACTTCTATCGGGATCCCGTCTGGTCCCGCAGCTTTTCCAGATTTCAGTACTTTTATGACCTTCAGGAGCAGCTTGAGCTGTTGCACTTTTGTGCAAAGTTCGATGTTAAAACTAATCAGTCATACTGTTGTTGATAACAACTAGTACCGAATGTACACACAACAGGTTTCAGGATATCTAGGTGTTTGAAGACTTGCTCAAAATATGCGGTCAGATAAAACTGGAAGACTTACAGTGACATTATGCACTGCCAGTATTCTCATCTACCTCCTTAAGAGCAAATTCCAACAAGTTCAATCGTAAACATTTTGCCTTGTAGTTAATGTTGCGCTTTGCATTGTTATTAGCAAATCAATATTCATACCTGAAGTAGGTTTATTTATTTCTGCTTATTAATTTGTTTTCATCACGTAAACAAATGGTTAGTGAAAATCACACCAATCATTATAAAGAATAAAGTTAAACAACAAAAACCTATATCATACCATTTAGATTTTTCAGAATGGGATATCTTCTGAGAGCGAGTTTTTATAGTCAATGGTCCAGCTAGAAGATTGACTGTTACAGAAAACAAAAAGTTACTTCGGACGAGTTTGGTCTTCCTTCCTGTCATTGATAGCCTTTGTTCTGAAAGTGAGTAAATGAATTTGTGAAAATCAGTTCGATTACACAACGGGAAAGCTGAGCATTGATATTACACTTTAATGGCATTTAAAACAGATAATAGTAGTGTGCTGGCAATATCGAATTGCTAGGCGCTACACAAAACTGGTTATGTCAGATGGAGTAACTAAACCAGACTGAGTACTTCACAAGAAACATTTCACTGAAAGAAAAAGCACTGACACCGATAAATGTTACAAGGGTATGAAAAGAAAATGTCAGTTAATATAACTGTACAACACTGTGTGATTTATCAAAATAAAATCTTATCCATTATGGAGTTATACTCTACCACAGTGCCCAAGTTTTATACTAACATAAGGTATCCCACTTAGGTCTTCTTAGTAAACTTAAACATTTTGGATTAGACGAACGCTTATCCGAGTGGTTTAGTGACTACCTGATGGATAGGAGACAGAAGGTAAGGGTCAATGGTGTACTGTCAGGGTGGAAAGCAGTACTAAGTGGAGTACCTCAGGGAACGGTACTTGGCCCCCTGCTATTCTTATTATACGTAAATGAAGTGCCAAAAATTCTTACCTCATCTTCCTTACTATTTGCGAACGATATTAAAATATGGAAAACCGTAAATAGTAGCGATGATAGGTTGGTACTACAAAACGATCTAGACAAATTAACAGAATGGGCTAACCTTTGGAGTCTGGAAATTAATTCCAAGAAAAGCGCGGTGATGCACCTTGGTCAGAAGTCTTACACGTCGTACTCCATGGGGGACACAGAACTGCCAGATGTTAGGGAACAAAAGGACTTGGGAATTATTGTTAGCCATGACTTAAAAACAACGGCGAACTGTAATCGAGCCGCAGCTAAGGCTTTTCGAATGCTATGGGCACTTCGAAAATCTTTCAAACGATTAGACGAGGGTATGTTCCAAGTACTCTATGCAACACATGTCAGGCCTCATCTAGAGTACTGCTACAAGCGGCGAGTCCATGCTTCAAAAAGGAGGCACATACCCTGGAAAGAGTACAGAGGGTAGGAACAAAATTAGTTAATGGCATCTCACACCTTCCTTATGATAAGAGGATGGAGCATTTAAATCTCTTCCCATTATCATACCGAAGGAGGAGAGGCGACTTAATTTTGGCTTACCGTATATTCAAGGGTGATTTAGGGATCGACCTTTCAAACCTTTTCTCTCCCTCTAGAATACATTTACGGGGTCACCAGAAGAAGGTGCTCAGACCAAGGTCGAATAAAATGCGTTTGGAGTTTAGATTCTCTCACAGAGCGGTCAACGACTGAAACTCGTTACCGGATTCAGTAGTAACAGCTCCATCGGTGAACGCTTTCAAAGAGAAACTGGATCTCTGCAGAGATATATATCGCGAGGATTAACATAGGCAACAAGAGCCTTCTATCATTACAATCAGAATCTGATACAGTTTTCAGGGTTTAACATCAATAAGTAGATTCTAGAGACACATACAGACGCCAAAGTAGGACATGCTCTAATTGAAAAATGACTTACTCAGAAAAGTAACCTAACAGAAACGAAGTCACGCCGTCAAGACCGCCTTTACTGCGATTACGTAACTCGCACTATGAATTACGAAGATGTACTTCGCAAATTGCAACAAACAATACATTCAATATCCAATTCTTTTTGAAGTTGCATGAAACTTGTAATATATCTGTCATATATTCTTGTTGACGCTACTGCTGCGGCTTTTCAAAATGTAACAGTTGATTCAATGGTTTATTTTTCAGGGAACATATAATATGTACCAGAGCCGTTACACTACGGGAACTGGCGAGCTTTATGTAGCCGGACGATCATCCTGTCGAGTCAGAGAGAACGTTATTGAACGGATTGAGACGAGATCTATGGAGTGAGGGCACATAATGGATGGAAGGTGGTGTAAGCGGAGTGTGTTTGCGATAAGCCAGACACTGGAACTACTTCCAATATCCAATATCCAATATCCTGATTACGAGCTAGTATAAACCAGTGATTTCTTTGAGCTCGCTTCTTGATTTTAAGGTAGAGGTTCCAGATCTTCGGTGAACTTATGCGTAGTAAATCCCGCCACTCGACTGCTTTAGCTCTGGTAGACTCCAGGAGGAGTGATGCGAGGATTGGTCAAGATTGTGGTTTGTAGTGTGCAGTATGTTAGGACTCAGCTGCTGCCGTGAATGGAGTTTGACCTAACACCCGTCGGTCATTCGGTATAGTCATAAAAGTAGAGTAATAATAATAATGATAATGATAATAATAGGTTGTAGTGTAGATAATATAGGTTGCCAACATAACATAAATGAAAGGAGAAATAGAATGAGACAAGGGGGGACGAAGACAACAGAGTAAAACATGATAATTTGACGAAGTGAGCGAAAAGAAATCTAGATAAATGGGACATTCATGGTACTAGTGATCCTGTAAAAATTAGTAACTCCTCACAATCATTATCCTACAGCTTTCTCCTGGGAACATGTGGAAGCTTTTCAAAGAAATTACAGGTTGTGGTAAGCATAGTTCTTGTGCCCCCTCTATTGATGTAAATACTCTTAATAGATCTTTTATCCGCCCTCCTAATGTACCTTTTAGCTTCATTGTAACAAATAACATGACCAGTGGCTTTAATAGTTGTAAAACTTCTGATGTTCTTAAATGTTTAAAATCTCTTACACCTTCCCAGAGTCTAGGTCCTGATGGTATACCTGCCATTGTCCTAAGGAAATGTGCTGATATTTTAAGCAACCCACTTACAAACATTTTTAATACTTCTCTTTCTAATAATGTTGTACCTTCTCTGTGAAAAGATATTAAAATCATCCCTGTACCCTAGTCAGGCTCTGGTAATAATGCTAAGTTTAGACCTATCGCTATTACCTCTCCTTTTTTGTAACTAATGGAGAAATTATTGTTACTAAAACTTGTTCCCTCCCTAAGTTTCCCAAACGATCCAAAGCAGTTTGCTCACAAACAGGGTAGAAGTACTTTGGACGCTGCTACTGTGTTTCATCACAACATTGTATCTGTAGTACCCCTATACCAACTATAAACATACGCTTTTAATCTAATTTGCATACTCATATTATATGTTTACACATACCGATTTTATATGTACTTCGTAAACATTTGCCAATTTACTGTTGAACGTTACCTTGATACAATTTCGAAATTTGACTACGGCTATAATACACGATTACACTCTTCACAAGTGCCTTCTGATTTTACGTTGTGGGCGTCGAGTAGCCACAACGTCTACGCACATTGATAAACGTGAAGAAGTACTAGAAAATACATGTACGCTAATTTAGTCAAATAGAACACGCAACATATCCTCCTTAGAAAAAGGGGCCAAGTTTGTCCGTTGTACGTTCCTTCACTATACATCTGCCTTCGACTCTGTACCTAGAGGCCTATTGTTAAACAAGCTTAGCCTTACACAAACTGAGCCCTGGGCTATCAACTGGCTGCACTCTTACTTCTCTAATAGGATGCAGTACACGGTATATAATGGTGTATCTTCCTCTCCTTTGCTTACTGAAGCTGGAGTTCCTCAGGGTGCTGTTCTTTCTCCGTTTCTCTTTTCCTTCTTCTTACATGATTTACCTCTCTCAGATGATATCAACTTCGTCAAATATGCAGATGACCTGTCTGTATCGTTTCCCATTAAGTCTCAGTCAGACTGTTTCAAATTAAATACCTTCTCGTCGGACATCAGTGAGTGGTCCAAACTAAATGGTCTCATGCTGAATCCCTCAAAATGCCAGACTATTGACTTCTCCCTTAGGCATAAACGAGATCTACAAACACCAGTAAGTTCTCATGAAGCCTGTTGCATTGAGGCGACTAAAATTGAAACTAAGTCTAATGCAAAATACCTCGGTCTAGTTCTATCTTCCGACCTTAATTGGACATCTCATATCCTAACGATTTCTAAGAAAGTGTTCTGTCTTACCTACTACATTAAGAAACTTAGACAATCTGGAATCACCCAACCTCTACTTTCACAATTTGTCAACTCTTGTATCTTACCTATTCTACTTTACTGCTCCTCGTTAGTCTTTCCCGGTCTACTGAAAAAAGACTATACCATCCTGATAAGGATGTTGAAGGTAGTCAGTAGGACTAGTGGTGTAAATCTCAGTCAGCTCGTCACTACTTTAGTTGACAGGCATCTGAATACATGCGAAAAATGGTCAAAAACCATACTCTCCGACCCCCAACACCCCCACTATTCCCAACTCTCGCCTTGTATCTCATCAAGTAAAACCAGAAATCAGTATAAAATAATCTATGCTCGTACAACCAAGTGCAGGAACTCAACGATACCATATTTGGCCCGTGTTCAAAGCGACAGAGACAATGTTAAGCGTGAAACCTATGACTTGCTTTGTTGTTAATATCATAATGTTAGGCTCTTTCATTTCTCTCTTATTTTCTATTCTATAGTGAACACCTTCTTAAACATACTTAGCTACCTAAATTATTAACATTGGCTTCCTTTTTTGTACTTTACTATATTCCTTCTATTGTGTATCCACTGGTTCCGACTGTATTAGCACTAAGTGTATTACAAAATTTTCCTGTCATTAACCATCACGTAATTATTAGTTTTTTTCTTATTTTCTATACTTTTCGGCAATATTAAACAACAATCATTGGTTGTGAACGCCATAGTCACCACCTTAAAAAATTTTGTATTATTCAGGATTACTCACAGTTCCACTACAAACACTGAATTAGACCTGACAATAAAAAACAAAACAACAACCCTGATATGTTATTTTATGATTGTTTATAGTTGTTTCAACCAAATTAACTGACCATCTTGGCGATAAACATTCTTAAATATCATTTCATAACTTCTTGTGTGACTACAGATTTACTGTCACCATGCATAATCATATCATAGCTTCCACTACCCAATACTGAGTTAATTATTATATGATGTTTATTTTCCTTTCTACTTCTTGATATTTTTTCGCGTTTATAATTATTTTTGTGTTTATCTTTTTTTGTTAAATAGTCCTTTAAAGTGTTTGTAAAATTAGATGCAAATATTGTAGATATTGTGCTGATAATTCCACACCGTACTACTAGTGCTGTCTCTGGAATAAAGCAAATTATGATTATTATTATTATTCATTGAACATAGACTGCTCACCTTCAATGACCTAGCTGACTAGTTGAGCTGAAGAGTCGCTGCCAAGATTCTAGACTATTTAGTACTATGTTACGTTACGTTCGGTTGTTTGTGCACGACGCCTGCCTGGCTAAGCAGTCATCAGTACAATACAATTTTAATCCTGAAATATGTCTCGCATTTTGAACGATCAATTTTTTTCGGGTCATATTTTGGTGTAAGCAGAGGAAATACGATAGAGGAGGGAGTATAAGAAGTTTTCCTGTATACACTACTTCACAGAGACGTCGGGATTCTCTCATCTCCTTATCACTAGTCCGCAAATGGTCCAATTCTCATACGAGTGCACGAAAACCTATTCATGCGAGACAGACTCGACTTTTTTCGATTTGTTTACTGGTGGAGCAACTGTCACAGTTTCAGGAAGTGAATTGATTTTGCCTGTATTACTGACACTCGGCAGGTAGTTCTATCAAGGTTAAGCCAAGGGATACTATAGTTCTCAGCTGACACTGTCTTTGAACGGGTGCATCGAACTTCGCACTATTTTGCATACGGGGTCGTCCTGATCCTACGTTGGCTGAAGGCACGCATATCCAGCTGTTGTAATCAGTAATCGTACGTTGGACACTAGAATGTGATCATAGTTGTGTCATTCGCATCTCCTTCCAGGATCGATGATGCGGTGAAGTCATAAACCTCTAAAGACGACTGGATGTAGATTTTGTACAACCCCATTCAAGATACAGGTGTGGATCCCCTAATATACCTAAGTAAGAAATAGTTGACTTTAGCTGAGGTCTAGAAACAAGACGTGGTTCGGAATGCTTTTGTCTCAGCATTTTGTTTTCCTTCACGTTCCAAGTGGAACACAGGGCTTCAAGCTAGAAGCTTGAAGTTTTTTTAGCAGTATGAGGTTGCTAGCCTCATGCCCAACCTTTCCTCTTTACCGGTTTATTTTATTACTGGTTTGGTGAGGTAAAGGAGTGAGTCGGTCGGGGATCGAACCCCGGACCAAGTGCATGGTCGGCGAGTGTCTTAAACACTGTGCAACCGACGCGCACTCTCTCAGCATGCTGTCTGATAATTCCAAGCCGCCAGTAAGTTGGCGGAGTAGGACTTCTCCTTTCTCAATCCATGGTTTGTTTCGAGAAAGATTCTGTTCTGGCTTATAATTTTCCTGATTTCATCATGCATCACGCTATAACTACCGAAACGGTTGGTATTACAGCCATTGGTCGACCTTCACCACTCTGAAAACTGGGAGTAGTATAGCCCACTTCCAAACTTTGGACAAGTGGAGCTTGAATAGTTCACTGATTGCGACACATGGAACTTCAACGCACTGCTTGGGAATTAATGATTCGGTATAATTGCATCCTTGGAATTTTTCTGGACGACGCCTAGTTAGTTCTTCCATAGCC